GGTTCGGTACGTTAGTTACGTTAACTTAATAACGTAACTTAACGTTAGTTACGTAGTAGTAGTATACTAGTCACTATATATATATATATATATATATATATATATATATATATATTAGGTTATTTTTGCATAGTTCAGTGACCACATGTATTCCTCTAAAAGAAGCTCAAAAAGAAATGAACTTGATCTATGCACCCAAACTTCTCCGAAGCCAAGTGAATCACAAGATCTAACCATAGTATTGATAGCTGCTGCAAGATGATAAGTCCATGCAGCAAACAAGGAAAACAATTCTATTCATGTTATATCTTATATTAGTGCAACCGCATAGGCTGGATATCCTTTTCTTTCACATCTCATTTTAGTTCTACTGCTTGACCATACCTTCTGGGATTAATCATAACTCTACATAGTCCATTCTGTCTTCTGAAAAGTGATGTTCTTGGTAAAGCATATCCGTCACCCATATCTTGGTTTATAACTACCCACGCATTAAATCATGGTTTACACTGCATGTGAAGCCACTGAAGTCAAAGTATGGCATTCTCATTAAAAGCTAACGTATGAAAAACTATGTAAAGACGTACGTAAAATTGACATTGTGCTTTTTTATCGGGCACGCAGCCGAGATGTATCGTGTCTTTATTAATATATATGTATATTATTTCCATATTTATAGATACCCTTTGCATTTACATTAATATGCAGGTGACAGTGGAAGCTCAAGAAGTTTCAGCTGGCATGAGAAGCTCTTTATTATGGTGTCTACGGTTGACAATAAGCATTAGTTCTGTCGGGTGCTTTATTTATTCGTGTATATACGGTAATGTTTTTTGCCGGACAACGAATTGATAAACCTTGTTCCTTTTTAACTTTAGGTTAGGATGCCAGTTTTGTGTACATAGTTTGTTTCTGGCCTTCCTTTAGTTGTACATTCTACTACTATAGGTGTTAAATGTCAGAAAACATAAAAAATAAAGGAAAGCACCTCGGTTGCTTTGGTGTATTTTTCTTGATGCCCCCTCGTTTTTCTTTTGTTTTTCATTGAAAGATGCTCTTTGTTTTTTCTGTTTTTAGGGCTTGGCAAGAAGACACTTAACTCTGTTCAAAGTCACCACTGTACTACTATTATTGATTAAAGTTTTCATAATTTCTCCTTCTTACCACCATTGGGCTTCTTAGTATATCCGGGGTAGGATTCAAACTTAGGACGTAAGTGTTGTAATTGTGATTTTACTAACCAATCAAGACAAAGCTCGAGTCCTTTGAGGCTTCAATAATTAGGTTGCGTAATTTTAATTATATTTTTTGGATGCTCGATAATTGAGCATTTAAGAGAAGATGCGAAATAGTTAATCAGACTCGGCTTGTGATTACACATAACCCATTGGTTTTAATATTTTTTATATGAGAATTTGGTGTGCCTCAATGAGACCATGAAGAATCTCAATAATTTGGTTTTGCGTTTATTGGGCTCTCTGTATCGTTTTGATTTAACATTTTAAAGATGGGGTGAGATTTGTATAAGGTGCCCATCTTATGCTATACAAATAAGGTGCATTTCTAAATTTTGCTAGAACATGTAATTATGGTGTGAGGTGTCTCATAAGGACTAAAAAATCCATGCTCAACACTAATTATTAAATTTTGAATTCTAAAAAAGATATTGATCTTGTAAAGAGAAAGGTTTATATGTTTCCCCTACAGCATAGAAGTTCTATTCTCCTCTAATCATCCAGCTATCCAATTTTGATCGAGAGAGCACTCCCTGTTTGATCTTAGATTCGACATTTCAAAGTATTTTATTTTTAATTTTTTTTTGCATTGTATGAATATGAAATTTGGTGTGTGCCATCTTTTCATTGGGGTGCGTCTATAAAAAATATTAAAAATAAATTTTCAATAAAATATAATGACTAAAATACCTTTTGAAAATTTTAAGGGTATTTTGGTTATTTTATTTTATTGAAAATATTTTTTTTTATATTTTTTTCTAGTGAGAGTTTAATAGAGGAATGGACGTCCAAAATTAGGTATCAAAATAGTTTACAAAAAAAAAATAAATAAATAAAATGGTGTAGAGACGTGATATTGTGATTGGGGTAAAGCCCTCCATTTAGAATGGATAGTTGGATAAGGAGGAAGATATAACTTTTATGTTATAGGAGAAGCATAAAAAACTTGTCCATTTGTAAATACTTGAAAATCTTGAAAATAGATAGTCTAGATAACTTGTTTCATGTTTTTAAGACTTAAAAGTTATTTATTTATTTATTTTAATACACCTTGAGGTTTGAGATGATCAATTAAAAGGTTTTCCAACTTCTGAACAACTTTTCCGTTTGAGCTTCTTTTTTTTTTTTCTTTTTGTTTTTTGTTTTTTTTGCTAGAAGTAAGCAATTTTCATTAAAAAAAATAAAATATAAAAGTTACAGAAGGTGGTTTACATTGCAATTGAGTAGTGGAAAACAAAATTCCCGATATTAGTGCCTACGGCATGGCCAGTAGCGATGAGGATTGAAGTCATGACAAAAAATCCGAACTCACTCCCATGATCAATTTACATGGCAAATTTTTAACCCTACTTCTTCATCACATAATCCATTACTTGAGATGTGATATCCAACGGGATTTAGATATGTATCTCACTTTTGATATGAAGTCATATGGAAACCAATGTTCGCCATTTTGTCTACTGCGTTGTTTGCTTTCCTCTACACGTGAGATTTTTCATGAGATTTTTGTTTAGGTTACATTTTTCCACCAAGATACCAAATTAGATCTTATGGCCGAAATAATACCAAAAAGTCACATTCAATCCAAACATTTGTGAAACATTTTCTAATGACATATTCGGCACCATAAACATTTTCTAATGACGTTTGAGCTATACCTTACTTCAGCGATAAATAAACTTTTCAGGGCATGTTTGGGTATATGGGTTTAAGGCATGGACTCCTAATATCATGGATAATGTTAAAATCCACCATTTGGATTGCTTAATGACTAGGATACTTAAAAATCAGGAAAATAAAAAATCATGGAAATAAGTCCTACTTTTCCATGATTTCATTTCTACACCAAAATCTATTTTTTTGCATTTCCGAGGCTCATGGATTTCACTCATTGGCTCCTTCAACCGGAAACATAGAAAACATTTCGCAGGTATAAAAATTTTAGTAAGATAAAGTACCTAAACTTTTTAAAAAGAGAAACTATCTCAACATTTTTAGAGTGATGAACTATCTCAAATTTTAACTTTTAGAGAGAGAAAGTATGTTAAAATTTTAGAGAAAGTACAATTTTTTTTTAGAGAGAACCTATTTCAAAATTTTAGAGAAACTATCTCAAATTTTAACTTTTAGAGAGAGTATGTTAAAATTTTAGAGAAAGAAAGTACCAAAAAGTTTAGAGAGATAAATTATCTCAAAATTTTAGATAGAGAAACTATCTCAAATTTTAAGTTTTAGAGAGAAACAATCATATTATATAGAGAAAAAGTACATGCAAATTGTTAGAGAGAGAAACTATCTCAATTTTTTAGAGAGAAACTATTTCAAAATTTTTAGAGAAAGAAACAATCTCATATTTCAATTTTTAGAGAGAGTACCTAAAACGTTTTAGAGATAGAAACCATCTCAAAAAAATTTAGAGAGAGAAACTATATCAAATTTTATGTTTTAGAGAGAGAAAGTATTCTTGAACTTTTAGAGATAAACTATTATAGATTTTAGAAAGAAAAATTGCCAAAAAAAAAGTTGGAGAGAAATATCTAGTTTATTAGAGAGAGAAACTATCTCGAATTTTTAATTTTAGAGAAAGAATATATTTAAAATTTTAGAGATAGAAATTATATCAAATTTGAGAGAGAACTTACCTAAAAAATTTTAGAGCTGGAAACTATCTCAAAAATTTTTGGAAAGAGAAACTATCGCAAAATTTATGTTTTAGAGGGAGAAAGTATCTTAAAATTTTATATAGAAAAGCTATATCAAATTTTAGATAGAGATAGCACATGAAAATTTTAAAGAGAAAAACTATCTCAAAAATTTTAAAGGGAGAAACTATCTCAAAATTAAAGCTTTAGAGAGAGAAAGTATCTCAAATTTTAAAATTTAGAGAAAGAAAGTATATCAAATTGAGAGAGAGACTACATTAAATTTTAAAGAAACTATTTCAAAATTTTAAAGAGAGAAACCATCTTAAACTTGAAGTTTTAGAGAGAGAAACCATCTTAAACTTGAAGTTTTAGAGAGAGAAACCATCTTAAACTTGAAGTTTTAGAGAGAGAAAGCATATTAAAATTTAATAGAGTAAGTATATCAAATTTTAGAGAGAGAAATACATGAAATTTTTAGAAAAAGAAACCATCGCATAATTTTTAGAGAGAAATTATCTCAAATTTTAGCATTTAGAAAGAGAAAGTATCTTAAATTTTGAGAGAAAAACTATATCATATTTTAGAGTGAAAAACTACTTAAAAATGTTTAGAGAGAGAACTATATCAAAATTATTGAAAAGGGGAACTATCTCACGTTTTAAGTTTTAAAAAGAGAGTATCTTAAAATTTTAGAAATAGAAGCTATACTAAATTTTAGAGAGAGTAAAGCACCTAAAAATTCTAGAGAGATGCTCAAAATTTATAGGTAGACAATTTCAAATTTTGCATTTTGGTTAGAAAGTATATTAAATTTTAGAGAGATAAACTATATCAAATTTTAGATAGAGAAACTATCTCAAGATTTTTATAGATTCACTATCCCAAATTTTGAATTTTAGAGAGAGAAAGTATGTAAAAATTTTATATACTTTTTCAAGTTTTAGATAGAGAAATTTTATCAAGTTTTGTTACCAAACAATAGACGTGATTGCAAGGAATCTATAAATTTTGTATAGTTTATCCAAACTAAGTGATTTGAAGAATTCTTGACAAAAACCCTTGATATTGAAAATCCATAGATTTTTTTTGGATTTCAGATATCTAAGATTCCTAATGCCCTCCTATCCAAACTGGGCCGTAAAGATTTTGTGTAACGAGATCTTTAATCGAATATAACTCGTTTCTTGTACTTCCAACTTCAGATTTTCATAATCTGGTGCAAGCACTAGTATTTCTCCTTCGCATGATGCATGCTTGCGGAGTTTTCTTGAGTAAAAGCCCTAGCATAGTTTGGACTTATTTTCTCATTATTTTAAATTGTTTTCCCCGTGGTGCATGTAAAGAGATGCAATATTTTGATTTTTTTTAGATCGATGCCTTATACACCTCTTTTTTTTTCAAATTAATTCAAAACAAATAAATGACATGTTCAACAGTTCATCTCTCAGGGGTTTCGATACATTTCTTATTACTTTGTAAATATTATATTTTTAAGGGGTGTTCTTTGTAAAGACTGACAACCTTAAACAATCAAAGGCGCATATCCAAACGTTGGTGCGCCCCTGAAATTCCTATACCTCCAATTATGATATTTAGATGCTCCAAAAATGATATATATCAAACAGATCCATATATTTAAAAACCTTGAGGAGGGTTTCAATAATATATTACTAGATGTATCATTTTTAAAACTTAAAATCATTTCTTTTTCATATTTATACATACGGATTTTAGGAGAACCTTTTTCAATGTTTTTTAAGGTGGGTTTTACTTCTATAGTATGAGATTGATGCTCTTTACCAACTTTTTTCTTTTTAATATATATATATATATATATATATATAAATTTCACTTGAAGTGGATGGGGTGGTTGTAGAAATAAGTAATCTGCGTCAAAATGGCTCGAGTATCAATCAATTTTAGTGTCTTACTGCTGGGAAAAGTTTATATAAGCTTGCTACATTATACTATAGAAGTAATGCGCCTTTGAAAGTTCTAGTAGAAAAGAGCATTTCAAAGTTAAAAAACCTTCCAATTGATCAACTTAACCTCGAGATGTATGGACATAATGAAAAAAGAACTGCAAGACCTAAAACTAGTATATCTTAAAACAAGTTATGTGGATTGTCTATTTCA